TTTATGACCTGAATATCAAAACAGTTGAAATGTGTTGTAGTAGCTAATTTTTGTTAACTCAATCAGTAACATTTAATCAAGACAGCTCAGTCTGTGGGACTCCCAACAGAAAATAGTGAACATGATTCACTGGGATGTGCATTTTTAAACCAACAGTAAAACATTTTAAAATTTATAAAAATTATTTGACAACTTCTTCAGCTCGGTTATCAAAAGCTATATTTTTGTGAAAAACTTGCAGCAACATTGCTTATATTCCAGCTTGTCAGAAGAGATGAAAAGTACATAACATTATACATTCACAGTGAAAAGGTTTCATCTATGTCCTGGCCTTTTTCTGAGAGCTACAGTTACTTGCTTATGAGAAATTAGGGCCAGACTCAGAGTTTTATTTTTAACACATCAAAATCATAAGTCGCAGGACTTGGAACCAATTGTTGAAAGAACTGTTTATTTCAAGGAACCAGACTTACTGAGATGGTAACGTCAGCGTTGTTCATATTCAAATTTTTTTTTGTCTTTTAATGACTTTACAGTAGATCTATTCTTGCAATGTGTTTTTTGTGGTGTAAAAGGTGGGTGTGTACTGTATGCAACACATTGGGGTGCTGCACCCTTCCAAATGATGTGGATGTTTCTTTTCTAGTCGGCATTTTCTGTATTGAACAGCTGTTTGCATGTATGAAATGATCAACAGAGGAACAGCATTGATTAGACGGCTTTGCGCTCTTTTACCTCTTCTCCTGATGCTTCTCCTCCTATGCAGGTCGCTTAGGCACGCACCCCTTTGAGAACAAACTTAAACATGTCTTTATTTGTTTACTTTGCAACTGGGATCTAAATATGCAAAGGTAGGAAAAAAACAAACAGAAAATGGCAGAAAGATAAAGATGTTGGGAGGGATGAAGAAAAGTTTTCAAAGTGTTTGGTAGACATTAGATCTAATACTAACATTAGATCATGTTAGTATTGACATATTCAGGTTAGCTTAAAATGACAGGTGGCTGTTGTTCTTGCAACTATTTGCTGTAGTTGTTGGTCAATTTATAATATAACAGATAATAAAAAGCAAAATAAAGATTTAAGTTTATGTGTGTATCAAAGAAATTAGTCCTAAGTGTCACTACAGCCTGCAGACTCATAAAGGTTGGCGATGCTTGTTATAGAACTTCGCAGGGAACACTGGAGTTTAAATGTCTTTACTCAGGATAACATCACTGCAGTGGGGTTGTGATATATTTGATGAGCCAGAACAGATGCAGTGTCCAGTCAGTAACTGTGATCCAACAATGTTATCAATCAAAATTAAAGTTTCATTTTTCTGTGGATTGACTACTGTATTTTTTAAAACCTACTTAACACAAAATGTATGTCTTTCAGATTTGAAGATGTGAAAAGAGGACGACCAAGGAAGAAAAGGGAAAGAGAAAGGCAGCAGGTTGGTATAATATTAGGTGGAAGTGAGGAAACACCTACTTAATGTCAAACAATTTTAAACATTATTTTTAAAAAATGTACTAAGGTCTTGTAGAGATTATCTTTTCTCCAACTAGGGCTGTAAGGTATGAGATTGAAGAAGAGTCAGTGAGCTAAATTTAAGACTGAAATGGAGCACCGGTTCATTTTCATGCTTTCCTTATGAACGAGCGTAGCAGTAATAACAACCTAACTAATAAGTTGTTTATGGTAAATCATAAAGCTGATCATTTATAAAATATGACTCACCAAAGCTGTTTTTCTTTTTACTTTACATTACTGATATTTTGCATTTTTTTATTCAGGACTCATCTGGAGCCTGATGATGTCTCCAACAGAAGTGAGGGAGACATCACTGAACCCACTGTTACAAATGGATCAAAACAGTTGAAACAAGTGATGTCTCCACTTCACCTTACCTCTGAATGGAAAACCTGGAATCTTTAATAAATTGCCCCAGTGAATGATGGATCAGCTGCTGTCTTTTTCCCCAAACTGTCATTTTATTACAAATTCTCAAATCATAAAATAATAAAGTCATTCAATAAACATTCCTTGGTGAAATCATTCCCAGTGTCCATTTGTTATTTTAAAACAATCATAAAGCATCCACTTCAATGAACAGCGTCAGTTCCTATCAGGAGTGACAGCATCACAGGGTTAAATCAAAACATTTCAACAAAAAATTTAAATCTCAGATTTACATGAAAAAACACCCATTTCTCAAGTGCAGCAATATTTTTAGATACTATTTCCATTGAATTATAATTATACTGAAAGCGTTAATCATGTTCCCACTGATATAATTAATATAGACATGACATTACACCATCTCATGCTGCAAGGAATAACACTGTGTCACTGGCTGCTATGGGCATAAAAGGGAAGAAACTCATGGTGTGGTCACCATCCTCCTCTGACCTCTGACCCTATTGAGAACCTTTGGAGTTTCCTCAAGCAGAAGCTCTGAGGGTGAAATGCAGTTTGTATCAAAACAGCAACTCTGGGAAGGTATTCTCTCATCCTGCAAAGAAATTCAAGCAGAAACTATCCACAAACTCACAAGTTCAATAGATGTAAGAATTGTGCAGGTGATATCAAAGAAGGGGTCCTGTGTTAACATGTAACTTGGTCTGTTGAGATGATTTCATTGAAATAGCTTTTGATGTGACCACTTAATGCTGCACATTCAAAGAATGACACTTTACAGTTCTATATAACCCATAAAATGTTTAGAAAATCTGCTGTACATAATGATTTGGAACAGTGCATTTTGAGATTTTTGATTTTTGAAATAAATGCTGTTCCCATGGGGAGCTTTGTTCAGTAAAATTAGATGTACAATAGTTCATTACTTGAAAATTATACTGACCATCATTTGCATTGAACATTTAAGAAAATCTGAGAAAATATCACTTGCAAAATAATTTGAAACATGGTGTCTCTGACAGGAAGCAAGACTTTGGAAACACCATTTCAAGAAAATTTACAAATGGTTCTTGTGAGTTCAAAAACCATTTTCAAGAGCTGCTGCCCTGGTGTTATAAAAGTTATTTTTGTTCTGATTGAATACATGTGATTCACCAGATTTTTATATTACTAAGCTTCCGAATATTTTGAATATATGCAGAGGAGGTAATTAATTTAATTTCTCTCCTGGCTTCAACAAGAGCATATTAATATGAACAGTTTTTATGAACAAAAAAAAAGAAGAAAAGGCATTTCTGATATTATTTTAGTCACATCTTACGGCAAAACCTTTGTACACAGAGAGCTTCTATCATACATATCTCACTGTCCAGTAGTATCAGTCAGGAGAATGCTGCAAACAATTTCCAACACTTCAGATGTGCCATGGAACAGCAAAGAATGGCATCAAGAAGTGGAGAAACTTGCAACATTGCCAATACTTCCCTCCACGATGGATTAAAATCTGTAAACTGGTGTGTAAAGGATTATACCCCTGAAACCTGGCAGATTTGGAGCATTTTTAAAAAGAACATTGGGAAATTATTGTCACTTCAAAAGGAAGACAGTGTTGTCTTTCAAAAGATCTTTTGCACTTGAATCAGAAAAACAATTTTAGGAATGTTGTTCAACTTACTTTGCTCTTCATCCTACCCAGTTTTCTTCCTCCATTGGTGACAAACGAATTCCTGTAGCGGCTCATCGTGTCACAATCTGTTTGTCTCAGATCTTGAGTGGAGAGTATTGTCTTCTTCAGCACAAGACTGTTGGACCAAACTGTAGGTTTGCTTGGCTTTAGGTTGTACTTTATCATAAACTCTTTTTGTTTGAGTCTGTTTTCTGATTCAAGGAGAACATGTTTTCTTTTTATTTTGACTCTTATTGTTTTTCTATTCTTAAGGGGAATCCAGATTACTAAAATATGGAATAACTTAACTAATCATGAGTATTTTTCTTCTTCATAAAACTGATTAATGTTTCTAATATCTTAAACTCAACTTTTGCTTTCACCATAAAACTCAGAAACAAAAACTTCCTGTTGGCTCCTGAAATGAGTTTGATTCTACTTACGCGTTGATGGAGTATATAATAGATGTTTTAGAAGTACCAGTATATCACTTTGTTTCTTTAAAATATACTGCGTATGGTGAAAGTTCGTGATAGTTTTATATAAACATAGAACATCATAATCTTAGTTAATTACATTAAACGTCAATAAGTCCTGGAATGAGTCCTGGAAACAACCGTTGAGAACAGAATGCTGCAGAACCGCATCAACTACAGAGCAGGAGGAACATGTTTTCAACTGAAATGTTTCCTTGTTGGCACTAACTCTCTAACCACAAGATTTATGATGCACAAAGAGCCTCTAGTTGTGATCAAAGCACCAGAAAGCAACTTTATAACCAGGATCTGACTACAGAGACTGGAGGCTGTGATCAATTTATTCATGAAGTTTTACAAAGTGACTAATATCAACTAATGACTGGTTGATATTTTGTCTGGATAAACTTTGGTGGTAAACACTGACTCTGTAGGTGATCTTATACTGATGTATTTTCTGGTGATGTTGAGCTGTAAATTAGTTTATTGTTCCTGTATTTTGGGTGACAGATACATCTGAAGCAATGTTTGGTCTGATTTGAAGACAGAAATGATTTAATGTTGAGCATATTATATTTAGTGCAAAATAAACCTTTAGAAAGCATTGTCTTCTATGTAATCTAACATTTATTTCCAGTCAGATTTTCTGTTATAAAATTATCCAAAATAAAATGAGTAAGTCGAAGGTTGATACTTGAATATGGATGAAGTGCTTTCAGATGTCAAACTGAGTTATTGCAGTAGGTAATACAGTACTGCAGCTCCATGACTCCATCTAGTGGACAGATAGTTGAAGTACAGCAGTCTCTTCAATCAGACTGAATTCAGTTGTTTTTTGCAACAAAGCTGATCCAAAGAACGATTACAACCAATGTGTGGAAAACTAAATTTGTGTTTCCCCTGCAGATCAAAAAGGAAGCTGTGTGAGCTGATGTGGATGGAAATTCAGCACCATGACTGAAAACAGGAAAAAAAAGTCAGATGATCATCTCTTACTCTTCATTGTTGTCACACATGGTTCATGTAAAGAAATGAAACAAAACAATACTTTTTTAGTATTTTACACATTTTTACATCTTTAACAAACAGAAGTGTTTTAATTGTAGAAAACAATTAAAATTGTCAGTCAGTCAGATATTCTTCAAAATCTGTGGTCCTGCACCTCTAGTTTTATCTTTAAATTCTACATTTCAATAATGTTGATTATACAGTATTTATAGAATCTAATTCAATATCGTTTTTTTTTTATTCAGGACTAAATGGCAGTCAAAACCTGAACCCACTGAACCCATTAAACCCACTGAACCCATTAAACCCACTGAACCCATTAAACCCACTGAACCCACTGAACAGAATGATGCCTCCAAAGACAGATCAGACCAGCCTTCATCCTCAGACAGGTGAGCTGATTTTGATTGTGTAAAATTTAATTAACATGCATCTATATGTTAATTACATGCTGACTGATAGATTGACCTTATAAATTTTTGACTCTTTCAAAACACTTTTATCTGACAATTTGACAATTATTCTGCTTTTAAACCATCTAACATAAAACTTATTTACCAATGTTTGATGATGATGAAGTTCTTTTACAGCTAGATTTTTTTTTAAATGCAAGCTGAACTTCACGGCTTTTCTTTTTATGTTCTTAAACATTTATATTATCTGCTCCTACAGTGTTTTGCATTATCAGGATGTATCAGGAGAACGTTTTATGTCCCTCAGAAGCAAAGAAGGATGTTTAGGTTTAACATTTTTGATCTCATTGATCTTGGGCCTATCAAAGTAATCTGTGACCCACTGTTTTTTCTGTACTTAACAGCTGGTTGCTCTTGAATGAAATGATCAATAACAGGGGAAAAGCACTGATTAGGCGCCCCTCTGCTCATTTACCTCCTGTCACTTCCCTTGACACACAGGCAGAAAACACACAAATTCAACAGCTGGTCATTCATTGAGCATTTGTTTTTCATTCAGGACTCGTCCGCAGTCAGAACCTGACAATGTCTCCCTCTGCACTGATTGGTCCAAAGACAGGCCTCCTAACGTTAGTGAAGACCAGCCTTCATCCTCAGACAGGTGAGCTGATTGTGACTGTGTGAAATTGAATTAACATGCATCAACATGGGCTGATTGACTGAGTGATCAATCTTTTTGACACTTTCAAAACACTTTTATCTGACAGGTTCACAATTATTCTTCTTTTAAACCATCTTACATAAAACTTATTGACCAATATTTATTTTGTCTCTGAAATCTGAGTCAACAGTTCAATGCGATTATCTGTCCACTGTCTCCTCATAGGATGTGTAACATGATACAATCAGCCTGATTCCTTTAACAGATCACTAACTGATGTTTAATGATTAACTGGATTTAACCACATTGTATGAAAACTTCAGCTGACTTTCATTTGATGTGACTGCATGATTGGGTTGTATCAGATTTAGTTTTATTGATTTAATATAATTTGCACTGAAATGGATGAATATTTAAGTAGGGGTTACCACTACACAATTCATCTGAACTGATATTAAGTGAACATTAAAATATTTGAAGCGTATTTAAGTATCAATGCAAAAACATTTCTATTCACTGTGAGCCAGTGTGACTTTCCATCCAATCAACCCTCACCTTCTAACAGGTGAGATATTTCTAAAAGCTTTACTCAAACACTTTTTTGGACACATTTTACAAGGAAATAAACAATTTCATTGAAGTAGAAGAAATAAGTTGTTTATGGTGAATCATAAAGCAGATCATTTATAGAAAATGGGTCACCAATGCTGTGTTTCTTTTTATATTACATAACTGACATTTTGCCTTTGCAAGACTTAGAAAAAACAGTGGATAGTATAAAAAGCATTTGTTGAAGATTTTATTAAGTTCCTTTAAAAAGTATACAAGTTATTACTTAATAAAAAGTATACATTTTAAATAAATGTTGCAAATATCTTAATTCCTAAAACAGTCACATATGTTTAGTAAAGCACTTCTACAAATGTTGCTGATTAAGGTTGACATCAAAGAAATAATGTTTTGTGTTTAAATGTCTGTAATTGCTGCTACAGTAGCTCATCCATAATGTGTCAATTGTCCCTATCTGGGTTAGTGCGGCTGCTGGAGCCTCAGCTGCTTTGAATGAAGGCAGGGACACCTGGACAGTTCTCCTGTCCATTACAGGCCTCCTAACGTTAGTGAAGACCAGCCTTCATCCTCACACAGGTGAGCTGATTGTGACTGTGTGAAATTGAATTAACATGCATCAACATGGGCTGATTGACTGAGTGATCGATCTTTTTGACACTTTCAAAACACTTTTATCTGACAGGTTCACAATTATTCTTCTTTTAAACCATCTTACATAAAACTTATTGACCAATATTTATTTTGTCTCTGAAATCTGAGTCAACAGTTCAATGCGATTATCTGTCCACTGTCTCCTCATAGGATGTGTAACACGATACAATCCATTACAGAAACACTGAGAAACAACCAAATAACCACACCTCCAATCACAGCCAGACAATATTTATCACCTAGAAGACTCTCAAATAGGATTAAAAGTGAGAACTCTAAACTAAGATCTAAAAATAGTTCACACATTTTTACATCTTTATTTAACACACAGCTCACAAAAGTGTTCTAATTCTAAAATACAGTTAAAATTGTTTAAAGGACATATTTAAATTTTTAACAACTGATGACTGTGATATTAATTTCAATATCTGAAGCCATAAATGTGGCTCAAAGAACAACATGGCCAACTCAGAACCAAGTAATGATAACAAAGTTTCCAGTAGAGGTAAGAAGGTAAAGATTTACATATTAGTCCAGTAAGGAAGAGGAAGGTGGAAGATTGTTGTCTAACAGGAAGTAAGATGTAATAGGACTAATATAAAGTAATATTGATTATCCAAAACGTACAGAATTTTCTTCAGCATTTATTTTCATTCAGGACTCGTCCGCAGTCAGAACCTGATGATGTCTCCCTCTGCACTGATTGGTCCAAATACAGGCCTCCTAACGTTAGTGAAGACCAGCCTTCATCCTTAGACAGGTGAGCTGATTGTGACTGTGTGAAATTGAATTAACATGCATCAACATGGGCTGATTGACTGAGTGATCGATCTTTTTGACACTTTCAAAACACTTTTATCTGACAGGTTCACAATTATTCTTCTTTTAAACCATCTTACATAAAACTTATTGACCAATATTTATTTTGTCTCTGAAATCTGAGTCAACAGTTCAATGCGATTATCTGTCCACTGTCTCCTCATAGGATGTGTAACATGATACAATCAGCCTGATTCCTTTAACAGATCACTAACTGATGTTTAATGATTAACTGGATTTAACCACATTGTATGAAAACTTCAGCTGACTTTCATTTGATGTGACTGCATGATTGGGTTGTATCAGATTTAGTTTTATTGATTTAATATAATTTGCACTGAAATGGATGAATATTTAAGTAGGGGTTACCACTACACAATTCATCTGAACTGATATTAAGTGAACATTAAAATATTTGAAGCGTATTTAAGTATCAATGCAAAAACATTTCTATTCACTGTGAGCCAGTGTGACTTTCCATCCAATCAACCCTCACCTTCTAACAGGTGAGATATTTCTAAAAGCTTTACTCAAACACTTTTTTGGACACATTTTACAAGGAAATAAACAATTTCATTGAAGTAGAAGAAATAAGTTGTTTATGGTGAATCATAAAGCAGATCATTTATAGAAAATGGGTCACCAATGCTGTGTTTCTTTTTATATTACATAACTGACATTTTGCCTTTGCAAGACTTAGAAAAAACAGTGGATAGTATAAAAAGCATTTGTTGAAGATTTTATTAAGTTCCTTTAAAAAGTATACAAGTTATTACTTAATAAAAAGTATACATTTTAAATAAATGTTGCAAATATCTTAATTCCTAAAACAGTCACATATGTTTAGTAAAGCACTTCTACAAATGTTGCTGATTAAGGTTGACATCAAAGAAATAATGTTTTGTGTTTAAATGTCTGTAATTGCTGCTACAGTAGCTCATCCATAATGTGTCAATTGTCCCTATCTGGGTTAGTGCGGCTGCTGGAGCCTCAGCTGCTTTGAATGAAGGCAGGGGACACCTGGACAGTTCTCCTGTCCATTACAGGCCTCCTAACGTTAGTGAAGACCAGCCTTCATCCTCACACAGGTGAGCTGATTGTGACTGTGTGAAATTGAATTAACATGCATCAACATGGGCTGATTGACTGAGTGATCGATCTTTTTGACACTTTCAAAACACTTTTATCTGACAGGTTCACAATTATTCTTCTTTTAAACCATCTTACATAAAACTTATTGACCAATATTTATTTTGTCTCTGAAATCTGAGTCAACAGTTCAATGCGATTATCTGTCCACTGTCTCCTCATAGGATGTGTAACATGATACAATCAGCCTGATTCCTTTAACAGATCACTAACTGATGTTTAATGATTAACTGGATTTAACCACATTGTATGAAAACTTCAGCTGACTTTCATTTGATGTGACTGCATGATTGGGTTGTATCAGATTTAGTTTTATTGATTTAATATAATTTGCACTGAAATGGATGAATATTTAAGTAGGGGTTACCACTACACAATTCATGAACTGATATTAAGTGAACATTAAAATATTTGAAGCGTATTTAAGTATCAATGCAAAAACATTTCTATTCACTGTGAGCCAGTGTGACTTTCCATCCAATCAACCCTCACCTTCTAACAGGTGAGATATTTCTAAAAGCTTTACTCAAACACTTTTTTGGACACATTTTACAAGGAAATAAACAATTTCATTGAAGTAGAAGAAATAAGTTGTTTATGGTGAATCATAAAGCAGATCATTTATAGAAAATGGGTCACCAATGCTGTGTTTCTTTTTATATTACATAACTGACATTTTGCCTTTGCAAGACTTAGAAAAAACAGTGGATAGTATAAAAAGCATTTGTTGAAGATTTTATTAAGTTCCTTTAAAAAGTATACAAGTTATTACTTAATAAAAGTATACATTTTAAATAAATGTTGCAAATATCTTAATTCCTAAAACAGTCACATATGTTTAGTAAAGCACTTCTACAAATGTTGCTGATTAAGGTTGACATCAAAGAAATAATGTTTTGTGTTTAAATGTCTGTAATTGCTGCTACAGTAGCTCATCCATAATGTGTCAATTGTCCCTATCTGGGTTAGTGCGGCTGCTGGAGCCTCAGCTGCTTTGAATGAAGGCAGGGGACACCTGGACAGTTCTCCTGTCCATTACAGACTTCCTAACGTTAGTGAAGACCAGCCTTCATCCTCACACAGGTGAGCTGATTGTGACTGGTTTTGAGTTAAAACATGTTTAACAATGATTGAAAACTTTAAAATATCATTTTATAACAATGTGTTATTGAAAGATTAGAAGATTAATATTTGAACACCACCTATAAAATCTTAAAAATGCAAGCATAAAAAAACTTAAATAAATAAGCAATGCTTAGCTTGGTGGGGACACATATAAAGCCTGGCGACCCACCAGGCTTATTTTCTATCTGTACAGGAAGGTATAGACTCATAATTCATTTCTGAGCACAGGCACAATGCTACGCATCATCCAGTGACATCAGAAGGCAGAATTGAAATAGACAACATTGTAATACAAGTATGAAGACTGAACCTTTCAGAGTTTCAGTACAACTGATGGTGTTCTGAAGGTTAATCTCCTGCTCTTATATTTTCGTCTGGAAATTCAAACACAGATATTAACTTATGGAACTATACAGTGTGATTGTTTTTTTGTTTGTTTGTTTGTGGCTTGATAATGTGAGTTAATTCTTCATGATTTCTGTACAGATTAGATGAGCTAAGCTCAGAGGTTCCCAGTGGCCAAGCTAAACAGCACACTGGAGAACAGTTGGAATCTACAATTGAGGTCTGTACATCTACAACTACTAGTTTACATTCGTCCTGTTCAGAGACATGAGACCACTGTTTTATTTTTTATTTTTATTTAAGATTTCTAAAATCTTAAATTTGGCACCACAGTCTTAGTCTGATAATTATTTAATTTATTCATTTGTTCCAGCTGCTGAAGGAAAATATTGTAACTTATGTGAATGACGAGCTAAAGACAATCCAGAATCTCCTGGACCCAAACGATACAGAGTGTTTAGATAGTCCGTGGGAGTTTGATGCAGTGTTAGAAGACAAGGATGAAGAGCTGAACAGGAGCAACAAGGAGGCACTTTTAAAGATCGCATTGAACTTTTTGAAGAAAATGAAGAAAAAGGATCTGGCAAATCGTCTGCAGAACAGTAAGAGAATTTCTTCAAATATTACACATGCTGAAGATGGTGTTGATTTTTATGTACATGTTAACTCTAAATATCAGAAAATAAGCAAAATGATTTTTTTCTTCTTTCCTAAAGCTGTTTTCCCTGTTGTATGTACATAACCAGAAATGCTGACAAAAATGTTTCGTACAAAAGATGTAACATCTTCAAGAAACAAGAAAGGACATTCATTTTACTTTTATTCATAGCACTTTAGACATTAACAGTCAATATTTTATTAAAGACACAAGAGGTGGGGTAATAAAGTTTGTATGTGCTTTATTTAAAAACTTACACAATTTTAATGAAGTACTTATTTTTGTGTTTATTTAGAACTTTATGCTGCAGTTTGCCAACGTAAACTGAAATCATCTCTAAAGAAGAAGTTCCAGTGTCTGTCTGAGGGAATTCCTAAAGCAGGAAACCAAACTCCTCTGGATCAAATCTACACAGAGCTCTACATCACAGCGGGAGGAACTGGAGATATAAATAAAGAGCATGAGGTCAGACAGATTGAAATAGTGTCCATGAAACCGCAGAGACCAGAAACAACGATCAGACTTGGAGATATCTTTAAACGCCCACCTGGAAGAGATCAATCAGAATCAATCAGAACAGTGATGACACAGGGAGTGGCTGGCATTGGGAAAACAGTCCTAACTCAAAAGTTCACTCTGGACTGGGCTGAAAAAGAAACCAACCATGATGTTGACTTCATATTTCCATTCACATTCAGAGAGCTGAATTTATTAAAAGATAAAAAATTCAGTTTGGTCGAACTTGTTCATCACTTCTTTACTGAAACTGAACAGATCAACCAGTTTGAACAGTACCAGGTTCTGTTCATCCTTGATGGCCTGGATGAGAGTCGACTTTCACTGGACTTCCACAACAATGAACTCCTGACTGATGTCACACAACCTGCCTCAGTGGATGTTCTACTGACAAACCTTATCAGGGGAAACCTGTTTCCTTCAGCCCACCTCTGGATAACTACAAGACCTGCAGCAGCCAGTCAGATCCCTGCTGAGTGTGTTGGCCTGGTAACAGAGGTCAGAGGGTTTACTGATCCACAGAAGGAGGAATATTTCAAGAAGAGGTTCACAGATGAGATGAAGGCCAACAGGATCATCTGCTACATTAAGACATTACGGACCCTCCACATCATGTGCCACATCCCAGTCTTCTGCTGGATCACTGCTACAGTTCTAGAAAATGTGTTGCAAACCAAAGAGAAAGTAGAGTTACCAAGCAGCCTCACTGAGATGTACATCCACTACCTGATCGTTCATACCAAAGTGAAGACAGCAAAGTATGACAAAGGGAAAGAAACTGATCCAACTTGGAGTCCAGAGAGCAAGACAATGATTGAGTCTCTGGGGAAACTGGCTTTTGAGCAGCTGCAGAAAGGAAACCTGATCTTTTATGAAGAAGACCTTAAAGCATGTGGCATTGATGTCAGAGCAGCCTTGGTTTACTCAGGAGTTTTCACAGAGCTCTTTAAAGAGGAGAGAGGGCTGTACCAGGACAAGGTTTTTTGCTTTGTACATCTGAGTGTTCAAGAGTTTCTGGCAGCTCTCTATGTCCATCTGACCTTCATCAGAGATGGTCATAATGTGATGGAACAAAAACAAGCATCTTCCAAGATCTGTGCAATTTATAGCAAACCAAAACTAACAAATCTCCATCAGAGTGCCATTAATAAGACCATGAAAGATACAAATGGACATCTTGACTTGTTCCTCCGCTTCCTCTTGGGCCTTTCAGTGCAGACAAATGAGAAACTTCTGGAAGGATTGGTGACACAAACAGGAAGTAACTCACAGACCAACCAGGACACAGTCCAGTTCATTAAGAAGAAACTGAACAATAAGTTGTCTGCAGAAAAAACCATTACTCTCTTTCATTGTCTCAATGAACTGAATGATCACTCCCTAGTGGAGGAAGTCCAGAAAACTCTGCAGTCAGGGAATCTCTCCACAGATAGCCTTTCTCCAGCACAGTGGTCTGCTCTGGTGTTCGTCTTACTGACATCAAAAAAAGATCTGGACGTTTGACCTGAAGAAATACTCTGTTTCAAAGGAGGTTCTACTGAAGCTGATGCCAGTTGTCAAAGCAACCAACAAGGCTCTGTATGTACAATTATATTCAAACATACACATTTTAAATACATTTATTTTTGGCAAACAAAGTCAAATTTCTGTTAATTAAAAATTTCTGTCTGAATTTAAATTAATTTAAAATGTCATGACCATTTTTTCATTATTTGCTTTCATTTTTATTTAATCAATGATGTCACATCTCTTGGTGGATTCCAGGTTTAGCTGCAACAAAATCGACTCCCAACTGGTTATTTGGTTTGTTTGAAGCTAAACAATAAGAGTGAATTTGTAACAAGGTTGTGACTTTACCCCAGTCACTCCTACAACATGTTAATGTGTTTTTGGGCAAGAAATTCAACCCCAAGTTCAGAACCAATCTGTGTTTTTGTGTGTGAATAGGTGAATGAAATGTAAAAGCACTTTGAGTGGTCAGTATCACTAGAAAAGTGTTTTATCAGTTTAATCATAATCTTTTGTGGCATAAAGATATGAACAGTACCTTGTAGTTATAAAAACAACTAGTAAAAGGGACTTATTATCCAAGGGTTTTGGATAATTGATGCATCTACAATGTTTTCTTCGTACAGTATAAAAAATATATAAAAAGTATGTGCTAATAGATAAGTCACATTTTTCCTGTGAGAAATATTTTACACCACCACCACAATGACCCAATTCACAAGAAAGACATCATAATAAAGCAAAAACATCCAATAAAATGTGGATATTTATTTGACTGTTTCAGTAAAATAAATAAATATATTTTTTTTAAATAAATAATATTCTTATTTTTACTTTTAGGCTTGGCGGCTGTGATCTCTCAGAAGAGAGCTGTAAAGCTTTGTCAGAAGTTCTCAGATCTCCGTCCTCCAGTCTAAGAGAGTTGGACCTGAGTAACAACGACCTGGAGGAGGCAGGAGTATCGGCTCTAGTAGAAGGACTGAAGAGTCCACAATGCAAACTGGAAACTCTGAGGTCAGGACCATAACTTGCCAGAAAACTTTGTTTGTTCCATCTATATTTACCAAACACATAGCACTTTCTCATACAGTTCTTTTGTAAATTTAAAGTCATGTAAAATGTTATCTACATTTGCTGTATCTACCTTATTCATATAATGCTTAACATTAGTTGTACTCAATATCCAGCTGAATTCTTACCTGTAAACAAAATATCTGCTGCAAAACTTCTGCAGATAAAAACATAGGGAGCTGAAACAGTCTCATTTGTGGCTCTTGTGCATATATGAATCTTGATCTCTGCATTAGTGAATTATGAGACTGTTTTAGTGCCATAAAAACATGATGTAACAATTTTTACAGGTTAATTGGCAAAATACAAAGATATTGATGCCCATTGTGATGCCCACATCACTGAGTTTCGGTTCTAGGTCAGTCATTAAAATGCAAATGACAGCCTGCTCGTGTCTTGTAGTTGCAATATTATGAAGACATGAAAATAATAAAATCTCATACTGATGTGGAGATTTCTATTATTTTAATTCTGCTGACTGCGACAGACTGGCGACCTGTCCAGGGTGTACCCCGCCTCCAGAACGCAGCTGGAGATAGGCACCGGCACCTCTCGACCCTGTTAGGGAGAAGGGTGACCAGAAAATGGATGGATGGATAATTCTGCTGAAACCACAGCAGAATTAAATATTAAAGCTGAATGTTTTAAGGGCTTATTTTAATGGCAGGCACTGATATACTTTTATTAATATCATAAAATTATTCAGCTACAATATTTATACAATTGAATTTTAGCCTATAAAACCTGATAATGTTTCTTTGCATTATGTGGTTGGGCTACAACTTATTACAACAGTTTAAGAGTTTTCTTCTTGGTTTTTTATTTTAAAGGGGATTAGATATCTAGGGATCAAATTTAAAATGTTCAGCCACATTAATCTTTATTCTTCATTTATTGAAAAGCAATGGAAACTGAACCCAAGTTGAATGAATGTGTTTGTTGTACTTTGGGTTGGATCAAGCTCTCTCTTAGGTCCTTTCCACTGCAGAGATCCTCTGTGTTGTATCCACAACGTCTCAATTTTCTGACCAATCAAAATGTTGCTTTTTGATGGAAAACAAAAAAAAAAAGTATTCACCAATGACGTAAGAATAACCTGGTTCAAGAAATGAATGAGAAAACTGAGAAAGAAAACTAAGGATTTTATTCAGTTTGTTCAGACCTTAAATCTCATATTGTATGAAAGGGAAGATAAAACAACTTCATATTATATTTCAACAACAAAGTGATTCAAACTGCATAAAAACAGGAAACATCAAAGAAGATGACATTCCAGTATAGGAATGAAAAGTAGGAATACAGACTAGTAAACAACAATGTTCACCTTATTATTATAAATTGAAAGTAACAGCAAACAGAAGAGTATTTCTTCTTGATTTAAAGGAACTCAATGTTGTTGTTTTTTGTGCAGTTTTCTTTAAGTTGAAAGAAGATTTTAGGAGCATAACTGAATACTGACTCTCAGTAAGGCTGTTATTAGCATCTAATCACACCTTAATATTAATCTATTTTTCAACTAACATAAAAAATGGGTTTCATTCTTATACTACAGAACATAAGTTTTTCTTTATTTTTTATGAATGTCTATTTTATAAATTTTATATACTGTAATGTGATCATCTTTAAATAATTTGTTTTTCTGTAGATTGTCAGGCTGTCTATTAAGTGACGATGCCAGTTGTCATCTGGCCTGGAGCTTTGGCCCCGACTCCCGTCTGAAGAGCTGGATCTGAGCTACATCAACTAACACGCAGGAGAAAAGATTCTGACAGATAAAAAATCTGAATCCAAACTGGAGACTGTCATCAGGTAGGCCCAGATATACATTAAGTATAGGTGTATTATTTGGTATTTAGTTTTCTATTCATTCACCTCCTGTACATATATAAAATAGGGCTATTATACCTAATATAATATAGGGTTTAGGTTATTTATCAAACGCCAACAATGGACCATGTCATTCTTTTAATTATTTATTTATTTATTCTTGTGGAAAGCAAAGTTATTGCTAAATTTGTTTTATTCTGACATATCAACTTGTTACATTGTTATTTCAGAAATTTAGCTTCATTATTTCCTCCTCAAAAGTTATTTGTGTTTATTTACAGTCTCTAAAACAGCTGATCTATTTTAAAATTACAATTTCAGGTTCCAAAACAAACTTAGAAACATTAACCACACCAAACTACAATGTCATGTAGCAACTTCAGGACATAATTGCTCTATTCAAATCTTGTACAGATTTTCTCTCAGTGAAAATTAATCTGTGTTCAAGATCTTCCAATAAAACATTGTTTGCATGCTGAATTGATGGCCTGACATTCAACCTCTGTTCCCTATGATTCTGTGCTGCAGATTGATGCCTACAGGATCAAAATGGTTGAAACCTGGTTTCGGAAAATGTAAGTATCCGACTATAATGCAACATCCACATTCAAGTTATTTGATGTTTTATTTCTGGAATAGTCCAAGAGTCAAAAATAATTACTAATTGGATGTGGTTTTCCCTCTTCATCAGATTTATGTCAACTCAAAATTGATAAAGACACAGTCAGCAAAGATCTCACATTTTCTAACCAAAAAAAGAGTAACAAACGAGGAAGCAGACATACCGTATCCTGATAATCCAGCAAGATTTGATAATCCTCAACTGCTTTGTGAAAATAAACTAGAAGGTCGCCATTACTGGGAGGTCAAATGGAAAGGAAACGTTTTCATATCTGTGACTTACAAAGGAATTAATAGAAAAGGAGACAACGATGACTGTGTGTTTGGAGGGAACAGTCAGTCCTGGAGTCTGGGCTGCTCTGATGGTGATGGTTACTCTGTTTGGCACAATAATGAGGAAAAACCCTTCACCCTACAGCGGTCTATGAAAGAGTAGCAGTATATGTAGAACCATGAAGCTGGCATTCTGTCCTTTTACAACAAATCCTCTGACAAACTGATCCACCTCCACACCTTCAACACCAGGTTTACAGAACCTCTTTATCCTGGGTTTACATTATGGAGTCCCGGTTCCTCTGTGTTGCTGTGCTGAGTGTAAAAAGCTTCATCTCAGAGAAACCTTTGACATCCTAACTGATGATGATAAAGTCCAAACATCACAGTACTTCAGACACAAATTACAGATGCATTTTTTTATTTTTTAACATAATGTCTGTCCCTTATCTATAGGTCATTTTAACAGGAATTTGAGTCTTTTATTTTCTATGTAATAAATATGTTTTGTGGTTTTCTTTAGACAATAAAATCCAAAGAATGGAGGGCAGAAGTAGCTTCAGTAGAAAAACTTTAGTCTATATTCAATTCTTAATATGAATTAAGCCGGTTCTCTAATATTTCTGTGAAGAAATAAATTAGCACTGGAGTCTCAACTCCCAGAAAAAAGCCATGTTTAAACATATTTCCATATAACACCAATAATAGTGTAGGAATGAATTCATGAGACTTTGTATAAATAAAACTTCACAATTCCCTTTAGATCTGTTTTGGGTTTTTTTAGATAAAATTGCAGTGTTTTAAATGTAATTTTTTTTACCTATTTGATCTGCTACATTTTGAGTTAATCAGAGTATTTTATGATTTATACATTTTTATTGTTATCTTAAAAGTGTAAGAGTATAGCATTATAGCATAGCATGTTGCTGTGCTAATTTCTCACCTTGTTAGGATGACAAGGAGCCAGATATTTTCTGGATCCATATCTATATGTTGGGGTTTCTGTTGTAAATTAATCTGTAAAGTTTAGTCTTAAAGTAGTGATGATTGTTTTTCTGTTAATCATATTATACTGTCAATAAACTGTGTTCCAGAAAAATAACCGTCAATCTGTCCCTCCATCGGCGCTGTCCTCTGCTCTCATCAGATCCTCACTCACTGCAGACAAACAAAACACTTACAGCTTTATATCTCACAAATACTTCTGTTACATTCACTTTCACTCAGACATCATAAACAGTACGTCATACAACATATGTATTAATATAAACTGTAATTAATGATGGGTAATTATGGCTTTGCTGAAGCACAAACTGCTGATTTAAAACATAATTCCTCACTTGAGGCTGCAATGGCACAAATCTCAAGTAGGACATCAATTTTCATAACCTCTGTATACATTTAACTTATATTTTGTGCAATGAAACACTTAATAAAGTCACTGCATTAATGAGATATGCTCTACTAATACAGACTTATGTAGTCTTTTAACAGAATTGGTATTAAATGTTATTTTAGGATTTCTGCAAACTATGTTGTGTTTCTCAATTGATTTAATATTTGAACATGTTTGTTATGATCATTATTTTCTTGTAGTCTGTTATCCTTTTTTGTTTTAGATAGAAATGTGATATTAATTTACTTGTCACTAAAACATCCTATTCTCCAAAAAAGACAATATCTCTTCTCACACGCTGTACTGAAGCAGAAATTAGCAAACAACCTCTGAAATATTTTGGTTCAGGAAACAGCTTGAAGAAATTCTGATAAAGCCAATTAGACAAGAGTTTAATGATGTTTCTCCAACTGTAACCAAGTAACTTTTATCAACAGAATAAGAACATCTCAGACTGTTCAACAAATGATCAGAATCTTTATTTAGATAAGAATCAGAAACGTTAAATAAACAAGAGAGAAACTTAAAACCTTATAATGGTATAGATTACAATAAAACACACAAAAAAAAATAAAACTTCATCATATGTTCTGTAATGTTACATAAAGGTGTCACATGATTGATGTGTCACCGCTTTGATGGATTGCTGAATCACATGATGAGTCAGAGCCCATCAGGGTTCAGTGTAGTGGCACTAAATGGCATCTTCAACATGGTCACCTGCAGGCAGGTGAGCTGCGGTGGGCGTGGCCAGCCTGACATGGAGTTACTGTGCTGCAGGCTGAATCAGGATTTGTTTGGTATGAAAGTAAAATCAACAGCAAACAGCAAAACACTGCAGAGTCTTCATGCTGACTGAAGGTGGAGGTCCGTCACTGTCCCGGTTCTCATGTGGGAGGAGGCCCGTCGTAGCGCAGCATGACGTTGAAGGATCGGGCGAAGTTGTTGGAGAGCGAGCAGCTGTTCCCATCGTCCATGAGCGGCAACAGGAAGGCGAGGAGCAGCAGAGCGAGGAAAAGGAGCCACAGAAGAAGAGCCAGACGACAAATCCTGTACAACATCCCGGGTTTCTGAAAACACAGAGAGAAGATGGAGCAGCACAACTCCACATGAAGCAGTGATGAGATGATGTGTTTCGATGTTTAAGTGACGTAGGACGGCGTTACCACTATAACGTTACCTTTTCTGTTCTTGTTTCAGAAACTGTCCCCTTTACATTCTCTGCACCTCTTTGCAGAGACAGAACATCAAGTATTAGATTGTTTATCTCGACTCCGTGACTCAGAAACAACACAAAAGTACTTTTTTTCAGTTTGTTTGATGAAAATCTCGATAAATACACATGAATTTTACAAAAATTGTCAAATATAGTAATTGTGTGCAGTTCAACTATACAAATCACACTTCTTCATGTGACTGGTGTCCAAAAGAAGCACATTATAAACAGGAATTAGCAGTATTTGTGTTTTGTGGGGCAACAACTGCAGCCATACAATTACCAAAAACAAAGTAATTAATAGTTATTAATGTAATTTTATCATTATCACAATAGTACCACAAAATAACATTATGTCCATATTCATGAAGTTCACTAAACATAGAATGACTAAAACCTCCTTTAGCAGCAGAAGTAAATTTGCACTGCCCCCTGGTGGTACACATAAACAGTGCACCAACAGCTAAAGCCTTCATCAGCATCATCTTTATGAAGATGTTTGTTGAATCTTTGTAGAGTTTTACACAGAATCAGGTTCTGCTAAGCAATAATTCAGAGGTTAACCAGATGAAGCATAGCTACTGTGGAGTATAGAGCAAATAACCCTGTTTAATTTTGCTTGATGGTCCAACTGACAGAACATTTGATCTCTCCTGTGCAATGATAAACTTTCATCTGCTAAAATGGGAACTCATTCACTACACTTGAGACGACTTGCTGTTTTTTTTCTTTCTTTTATCTAAAATAAATGGAAAATGTTTCTTTGTCAGTAGTTGGTACATAGAAATGCCAGACATGAAGTGGACATAAGTCTGACAGAGTCTGAGGCTGCCCTCTAGTGGAAATCAGTGGAAGTGCATCACTGTGAAGTGTTTCTTGAGTTGAGTCTTAAAAGAAAGTGCATGAAAGGAATGAGTGACTGTCACAGACACCATGATAAATTGATTTTGAACCTTTCCAACCTTCATTGTTGTCTATGCACTGCTGTAATTCATCAGTTTATTATAAATATATAAAGGGCTTAAATAACATAGTAGCTTATGTATTTCCATCTTTTCACAACTGTGAAACTGTGCTTGGAATTAACTGGCCTGTTCAAATTCATGTGTAAAAATGTCAAATAGGCTTTCTATAATTTAAGATGCCTTTTATAAACACCAAACAAAGCAGGGCAAGTTCTGATATTTTCTTAGTCACATCTTACGGCAAAACCTTTGTACACCGAGAGCTTCTATCATACAGACCTCACTGTCCAGTAGTATCAGTCAGGAGAATGCTGCAAACAATTTCCAACACTTCAGATGTGCCATGGAACAGCAAAAAATGGCATCAAGAAGTGGAGAAATTTGTTCAACACTGCCAATACTTCCCTCCACGATGGTTTAAAATCTGTAAACTGGTGTGTAAAGGATTATGTACAAGCAATATCCTGAAATCTGACAGATTTGAAGCATTTTTAAAAAGAGCATTGGGAAATCATTGCCACTGCCCACTTCATGAGGAAGACAATGTTGTCTTTCAAAAGGTCTTTTGCACTTCAATCAGAAAAAACTATTTTGGGAATGTTGTTCAACAACTTACTTTGCTCTTCCTCCTACCAGTTTCTTCCTTCACTGGTGACAAACAAATTCCTGTAGCAGCTCATCGTGTCACAATCTGTTTGTCTCACACCTTGAGTGGAGAGTATTGTCTTCTTCAGCACAAGACTGTTGGACCAAACTGTAAGTTTGCTTGGTTTTAGGTTGTAATTTATCTTAAACAAACGCTTTTTGTTTTATTTTCTGATTCAAGGTGAAAATGTTCTTTTTATTTTGACTCTTATTGTTTTTCTATTCTTAAGGGGAATCCAGATTACTAAAATATGGAATAACTTAACTAATCATGAGTATTTTTTCTTCTTCATAAAACTGATTAATGTTTCTAATATCTTAAACTCAACTTTTGCTTTCACCATAAAACTCAGAAACTAAAACTTCCTGTTGGCTCCTGAAATGAGTTTGATTCTACTTACGCGTTGATGGAGTATATAATAGATGTTTTAGAAGTACCAGTATATCACTTTGTTTCTTTAAAATATACTGCGTATGGTGAAAGTTCGTGATAGTTTTATATAAACATAGAACATCATAATCTTAGTTAATTACATTAAACGTCAATAAGTCCTGGAATGAGTCCTGGAAACCACCGTTGAGAACAAAATGCTGCAGAACCGCATCAACTGCAGAGCAACTGAAATGTTTCCTTGTTGGCACTAACTCTCTAACCACAAGATTTATGATGCACAAAGAGCCTCTAGTTGTGATCAAAGCACCAGAAAGCAACTTTATAATCATACAGAGATTGTTGGACATGATGAATTTATTCATGAAGTTTTACAAAGTGACTAATATCAACTAATGACTGGTTGATATTTTGTCTGGATAAACTTTGGTGGTAAACACTGACTCTGTAGGTGATCTTATACTGATGTATTTTCTGGTGATGATGAGCTGTAAATTAGTTTATTGTTCCTGTATTTTGGGTGACAGATACATCTGAAGCAATGTTTGGTCTGATTTGAAGACAGAAATGATTTAATGTTGAGCATATTATATTTAGTGCAAAATAAACCTTTAGAAAGCATTGTCTTCTATGTAATCTAACATTTATTTCCAGTCAGATTTTCTGTTATAAAATTATCCAAAATAAAATGAGTAAGTCGAAGGTTGATACTTGAATATGGATGAAGTG